TCAAAGCAGGACCAGCCCCAACTACAGCATCCCAGCCAAGACTTTATCTAGCCAGGCTTAAATACCTCCAAGGATGGAGAGTCTGCAACCTCTCTGGGGAGCCTGGTCCAGGCTTCACCGCCCTCCCAGTGAGAGAGTTTTTCCTAATATCCAACCTCAACTTCCCTTGCTGCAGCTTGAGCCCATTGCTCCTTCTGTCATCTGCCCCCACTGAGACCAGCCCAGCTCCATCCTCTTTGCAGCTCCCCCAGCATGGAGGTGAAGGCTGCTATCAAATCCCTGCTCATACTTTTCTTCTCCAGACTCAATCAGCCCAGTTCCCTCAGCGGGTGTAAAAGCCCAGAGGTGCGATTTGACCGACGGAGCGGTCCTTCCAGCCCAGCCCCTGCCGGGTGCCTGCAGCCCGAGCAGCTCGGCCGTCCTGGAGTCCAGAGGGGGATTTTTACTGGGATGCAGCCGAGGGTCGGGTCAGAGGCTGATGAAAAGACCGCGTCAGTCGAGAGCTGGGACAGACGGAGCCAGTGGGTGACAGCGGTGAGACCAGGAGGTGGCAGTTTGGAAGCAGTAGCAGTAACGTAAGAGGGTAATTAATGGCCTAGGTGTGCCCGGTGGGGCAAGGTTTTGTCAACAACACTTCAGTGCTTCCCAGAGCGCTTTTGTGAGGTGCGGCAGTGGTACTTTTATAGATCCTGGGCGGGAGGAAGTAGCGAGCAGGGGAGTGGTGGGCTGTAAGATCAGGCTTTTCTTGCAGAGAGAACGGGAGTCAATGCCAGGGTGGGCTGAAGCCAGCCCACGTGGAAGGGACATAGGAGGAGAGTGACTGGGATTTTCCCCCTGTTCCCCTCTCCCATGCAGCCTCCAGCATTGAGGGTGGAGGCAGGCCTGATGCAGAGGCCGTGCCCCTCGCTCCCCTACTCAATAGCGTCGCTCCCAGACGTCCAGTCCCTTCGTGAATCTGGCCGCACTCTCAGCTTCCTCCGCATCTGGTTGCAAGGAGTTCAACGCTTTCATTGCACGCTGCAGTGCATGCCTACAGACGGTGCAACTGTGCAGTGGTTACTGTGCATTTATTCAGTGCTTGTATTAGCAAATACTAAATAGATGCTCAGTGATGGGAGTTACCGCACAGTCGAGGATTCGCACTGACCGTGCTGCGACGTGCTACTGTGCAACCTTGTTCAGTTACTGCACAGTCGCATCTCATGTAGGTGTGCCCACTGTGCAAAAATACTTCTTTGTGTTAGTTTTAAACAGACTGCCCGCTCATTTTATGCTCGGTCTTGTCTGGTGAGAGATGGGAAATAATCAATCCCTACTGACATTCACTTTCCCATTTATAAACCCTTCTCCTGCCCCTCCTCAAGTGTCTCTTCTCGAAGCTGAACAAGCCTGGCCTCTCCAGTCCCTCCTCGTACGAAGGCCCTTCTGTACCCCTCATTGCTGTGTTGCCCTTCTCTGCACCTTCTCTTTTTCTCTCTATCCTTTGCAAGGTGCAGAGGCCAAATCTGGATGCAGGATTCGAGGTGTGGACACCCCAGGGACTTACGAGGGGCCTCACAATCCTGTCAGCTTCGTGGAGGGTAGGGACAGAGGGGTGGGGGGTCAGTGCAGCAGCTTCAGTGCTGTGTGCCCAGGTTCAAGAAAGTGAGTGTGGAAAGCCCTTGATAAACATAGTTTATGAGTCCACACAATGAATCATCAAACTGGTCCCTGCTGACTCTTACAACAAGAGCAGTAACTGACACCACAGCTCACTCCAAACCAAATTTTGGCACTTCCTCCCTTGTTCCTTGAGATTCAGCTACACTTGATGGTTGCAAAATCCCTGTGCTATGACTTCGAGTGGTCCCAACGGGAAGTGATTGATTATAAAACATGTGAACTCTGTAGGAAACTTTCCAGTGCTAAAAAAACCCAACACACTGGTTGATCTGAGCCGGCACACAACTGCTGGCTGAAGGGAGGCAGCACTCCTGCGTGGGGCATGCACTAAGGCATGTGACAGTCCCCCAGGTAAGATTTTTTTTGCTCTTTTAAGATACTGGCCTTGCATTGCCATATACCTTGCTGTTTGCTTTCAGTGCATTTTGCAAATGTGCGTGTGTGACAAACCAGCACGGCTCTGTCTGGAAAGTGCCTGCTTGCTCTATGTGTGGCATGGGAAAGTTGTGCTGAACTTCGTAGCTCTGCTAATGAGCAGGTGTGAATCCCACAGGTGATTATAGCCGGTGTTTTTCACACCACAGGGAACGCCTGTCCCTGCTGCGGCACGGGGATCTGTCCAGGCCAGGTGGGGTTTGCTTAGATCCTCACAGCTGATCCTTCACCTTTGTGTGCCTGCCTCTCGTGCTTTGGGCTGTCGGTGCCACGTGGGTCTGGCACTGTCCGGCTGTGCTTTATGAACAGCAGGAACACCTCTGTGCTGCGAGGTGTGTCCTGTAGGAGCCCCTCAGCCACACACCTGCCTGGCGAGGTGGCAAGGGGATCGTTTCACCCACCTCTGAGATGCCATCCATCGCAGCATCCTGCGAGCAGTGCGGCTGGGCAGGGAAACCCTCGGACCCGGCGGCACCTAGAAAGCCAGAGACGGGTCAGTGAATTTAGCAGCGAGGAAGACAACAGGACAGCTGGGTTGCAGGTCCTTTTCCCTGCATCTAGGGGTGGTTTGGCTTTCCTAGGGTGCTGAGTCCATTTCTTGTGCTGAACTTCCTCTCATTCATCAGCGGACGTGAGCCCCAGGGCTCGTTACGTCTGGCACGTCACACGGTAGTGTGTCCTTTCACAAGTCCTTTACTATAGGGGCTTGTTTCCAAGGACCTGCCCTCCACTCCCCATCGCCTTCCCCTGCACAGCACCATCTCCCTCTACTCGTCCTGATAGTGAGAAATGCAACCTGCTTTATGTTTTAGGCGCCCGATTTCCATGTTTGCAGCTTGTGTTGGTAGGGGGCACTGCCAAGCCACCCCCCAGTGGGAAGCGCTCGGTGCAGAAGGGTGACCCATGTCCGTGCACCACAACGAGGTATCTGCCAGGGGCTGCTGAAGTCTTGCTGCAGTGGATTTCTCTGCTGCGCTACAGGGAGCGTCCCTGGGGCTGCGTCACCCCGTCGAGCTCCTCTTCCACTCAAATTTGGTTGCTGAATGCTAGTCATAGAAACTTAGAAAATGAGGGCTGGAAGGGACCTGCAGAGGTCACATCTAGTCCAACCCCTGCCTGAGGCAGGATCAGGCCTCTCCAAACCAGCCCAATCACCATTTAAACTCTACATAGGACAGCCATCAACCTTGACATAACACCTGAACCTGCCACAGGTAAAGCAGGGAAACCGCGGCAGCCAACGTCCTGCTTCTATGAAATGTCGATATACGCTCAAGAGATCCCAGGTAGACGCTGTGCTCCCACGACAAAGCAAGGCAACCCACCCTGCGTCTGTACCCATCTGACCATGAGGACAAAATGGCCCCTTCCTGGCCCCAAATCTGGCATCAGTCTGACCCTGAGCAGAAGGGCAAGACCCTCCAGCTTTAGTTCCAGCAGAAGCATTGGCCCAGCCCAGCCCAAGCCCCCAGCCTGGGCTGTAGCCAGCACCCAATGCCTCTGGGAAGGTCTAAAAACACCCTGACATAGGTAGCAGAAAAACAGGGGGTGAGTTAGGGTTAGGGTTGTGGAGGGAGACATCAGAAGCAAAGTGACAGGGCTGGCTGTACAGCACCATAAGCCCTGTATGGCAAGCAGGTGGAAGGCAGGGTAAATATGCTATCCTGCTTTATAGATTAGCTAAATAAAATATACAGAGCATGTCTACATGTGCACTTTAATGCGCATTAGCATTGGCACTGCATAGGGGGTGCACATGGGTGCATGTGCACCCCCTGAAACTGGCTTCCACCGACCGTGCCAATGGCGCCCGTGGGCAGTCACTTCTCGCCACCCCCTCCCCACTGGTGAAGTCTGCGGGTGGTTGCCGACCACTAGTCAGAGTTCCCCCCCGCCATCCTCCTGCCACCAACATCATTGCGGCTGCCTGCTCAGCCCGCCCTCACCCCTGACGTCAGCCTGCGGGAGCTACCTGCTCACCGCTACCGCCGCCACTGGCAGATGGTCACTGTGCCCCCCCAGCCTTAAGAGGCACGAGGCATTCATGAGCATTAGCCTATTTTAATGCACATTAAAGCATCGCTAAAAGCGTGCTTTTTTTAGTTAATGTGCATTAAGTTAGGCTAATGCATCACTTAAAAACCATGGACACGTCTACATGTTCATTAATGCTCTTTAGTTAATGAGGTACTAGAAGAATGTGTGTTGGCCTGTTTTAATGTGTGTTAGTGAAAGAGCATAGGGCATTTTTACACGTGTTGTGGGATGCAGTGCTGGGCACTTTAATTAGCAAGCCACGCTAGCTAAATGTGCCCATGTATTAGTGTCGCTGTGAGTCCCCGTGCTGAAATAAGTGACAGTGAGGCTCTTTGAACTAAAGCACATTGAACGTGTTTTATTTCAAAACGCTCCGCCACCACTTTAGTGCAGAGACACTGATACGTGATGCGGAAGGCTGCTGCAGCTCATCAATTTTTGTGCTCCAACGGACTCAATTAATTGAGTCTGCTCCAATGCACTGGATTTCCAGCGTACTGGAGCAGGCTCCGTGTATGTGCATAGGAGCCCATAGTTTTTTTGTGGTGCTTTAATGTGCATTAAAACAGAATAATGCACATTAAAGTACACATGTAGACATGCCTGGTGCTCTTTAGTTAATGCGCATGGAGACAGGTTAATGCGCATCTCACAGTGAGGGTATTAGATTTCATGAGTATTAACTAAAGCGCAGTAATGCATGTGTAGATGCTTCCACAGAAAGAGTGAGCACAAGCAGTTGTGAAGCCATGTTACCCTCATGAGGTGCTGTGGAAGGACATCACGGATCCGGGGCTGAGCGGCGTGGGCAACTGGGGTACAGTAAGTGGGAAACCAGGAAGGAGGGACAGTGCTGGGAGCAGCAAAGTGGCCAAGACCCCAGAGCGGCACAGGAGGTGTCACACAAGCTAATCCAGGTACTGGGACAAGACTCTGCATCCCGTTTAGCTCATGCAGGCTCATGTTCATCTTGTGGTCAATGATGACCCCCAAGTCTCTCTCTTCCATAGTGCTAGCCAGCGTAGCACTGCCGAGCCTATAAGGATGCTGCAGGTTTTTGCTCCCAAGGTGGAGAACCGTGCATTTTTCAGTTTGTGCCTTTCTGCAGCTGATGTCAGCCAGACGCTCATTCATGCAGCCCCGGGCGTCTTCTCTTAACTTGACAGACCTGACGGGTGAATTCGGGGAAGAGCTCGATACCCCTCAGAAAAGCCAATCAGCTCTGGCACCTGGGGGTGATTAGTTCACGGTCTGTAGACCAGGACACTGTAGGACGGCAAATCCCGAGTTTGGGAAACGTCATTGGAGCCCGTACAGGGCTGACCATTTTGTAACATCTTTTATTTTTAGTGTTGAATGTGTGTTTCTAATAAGCCCTGCCTGCTCAGATCTCAGCACCGGGGAGTGGAGATGCTCCCATTTCACAGGGCTGCTGGGCGCAAGTGGAGTCCTGCAGAGTATGCTGTCATGACTCTCAGACTCTGGGAGTCCACCTCTGCTTTCCATCTGCTCAAAGTTTCCAGGAGTCCTTGAGGCAACTCCCATCCTCCCCGCAGATTCCTCACAGCTTGTTTTCCAGATCCCGGGGCTTTTTGCACAGATCCCCTGGCTACCCCCATCGCGATGCCTCAGGGGATCCTCTTGGCGTCCCTTGGACCCTTTCCCACATGCTCTGAGCCAGTCAGGACATGAGGCATTTGTCCTCTTATACATGTCTTCCTTGGAAATTTGCTTCATCTAACATCAAGGATTTGTTTAAAAACAAAAAAAAGCCCCAAAAGAAAACAAAGATTTTTTTTTTTCTTTGCAGTTCTCAGGCACCAAAAACTGAGATTTATTTATTTATTTTTTTAATTGAAAGCATACAATTTGGTTGGAGCGGACCAGAGATTCAGCATATGCTGTTGCCAAAAACTAGCCAGCATTTAGTTGTCTCCAGGTTTCTTCCGAGACCCTGAGCCACAGGGCCTTCATGCCAGAATTGCTAGTTTCGATTCAAAGTCCTTGGCCTGTTTAGTGTTTGTATAAGTGACCAGCACCCAGGGAGCTGGTGATTGTCCTGATTCAGGGTTTCTCTGGAAGCTCCCCAGTAGACTCTGCTATGACCGCAGACGACAATCACGTCCAATTTAGTGCTGCCTTAGTCAGAAACTATTTGGCACGGAGCCAGATCCATCCTCGTTGCTAAATTCATTATGAAAAGCCTATGGGGAAATGAATAATCTCTGGTAGATAAAAGATTAAATGCTTGCAGAGTGGTTATCTGTGCTTATCACATATCTAGCTTTCCTTCAGCTCATTGCTCATCCTGAAAACTTTATAACCCAGCTCGTTTTCTAGCCTGCTGCTCCTCCGGCCAAATACGCCGTCCCCGGGACTCTGGTGTGGATATGGGCATCTGGTGGGTCGCCGTGGTCTCCACTCTCCTGGTTTGGTGCTGCAAGGGATCCTCAGCTCACCAGCTCTCAGGTAAACCGGGTGTCGCTCAGGTGATGCTTTTGTCTAATCTCTGTGGCAGGTGCATCTTCCTCTGGCCCTGGGAATGGCCAGACCCCTCCGGATGAGCTGACCTGCCTTTTGCTAACTGCGGGGCCGGGGGCTGTGCTTGGAGACCTTTCTCTAATGGGAAGTTTGCAATGAACTTCAACGGGGGGGGGGGGGCAGGCTGCCAGGTTGATGTGCTGCAGATGCACCGCACAGAGCCACGGTGTTGGAGGCACTCGGGGTCTCTGGTAGGAGCGCTTGCAGCCGTGTCCCGAGCACAGGTGGAGTCCCAGGGAGGAGAAGGGAGATGTACAGACAGATGTGCTGCTTTCAGCGCACATCACCTGGGCACCATGGGCTCCTTTGAACAGCGCCCGGCCTCCCCTACAGCGACCGCCGACCGCAGCTCCTGCTCGGTGCCGCCTTATGCCTGCGGCTCGGGGGGGACCCTGCTTTCACCTAAGTAAGACATAAGTCTGAGCAAATCGTCCTGTGCAGATACTCAAGCCGGACGATGGGGTGTTTGCAATTAAGTGGGCGTTGCAGGTACACAGGCATGCATATGCCCAGGAAGGAAGACGGCAGTTCTGCATGGCTGCTAAACACTTTGAACCGAGCCTGAATAGTCTGTTTTTCACCCCAGAAGCAGTTGCATGCTTATAGTGGTGCACCGATCCCCCCCAACCTGCCCCACGCAAGCCAGCTTCAGAGATCACCACAGCTAGACAGTGACTGGGAACCAGAACTTGGTGTCATTTAAGAAACCTTTGGGCTTTTTTTAGTCTCTTTAAATCAACTGTGTGTTTTTTCTGCCTGTTTTCCCCACTTCAGTCGACCCCCCACAAGATCTTCAGATAGTTGACCCTGGGCTCCTAGGGCATCTCTACATGCAGTGGGAGCCCCCGCTTTCCCTGGAGACCTTCAAACAATGTACAGTAGTGTACAAGCTAAAATACTGCAACGCCGGCGATACGGACTGGAAGGTGAGATAAGGCGCAGTCCCCGTTGCTTCCTCTTTATTTCACCCATCGGTTTTTCTCTTTAAGTGAATGGTGAGAAGTTGTTAGAATAGCGACAGCAATGTCCTTTGACGGAGCCGAGCGCTGACACAAACAGGTCGATGGGTTAGAAACGTGCCCGGGAGCTGCTGCGGGGTCCGACTCTGCCCAGGGTAACCCCACCACAGCTCTGCAGGGCCCCTTCCCATCTTTGCAGGGCTTCTTCCAGCCCCTTGGGCTGCACCATGCTCTACCGCTGCTACTCGGTCGGGCCCGGGCCGGGACCCACGCGAGCAGGCGGCGTTGAGCAGCAAGGCGCAGCAAATCCTCAGGGATTTGTGGCGAGCAAACTCCCATCCATAAAAACAAAGCTCCAGTGCAATGCACCCTGACGGGTGGAGATCAGCCACGCAGGTGAGACGCTGTTCGTGGCTTCACGAAACACTGGCCGCGAAATAAAAGACAAGCCACAATGGCAGGAGCAGCTGCCGGTGGTGAGCTAAAGAAGCACTTGTGGCTCAGGAGTTGTGGGCTGAATTCATGGTGCTACAGGCCTCATTGCTCTGCTTTTAACTTGGCCTTGCACATAAGTCAACCTCACTTGTTCAGGTTTAATTACAGGAAGGCCAGCTTTTTCCTGGCATCTCCATCGATGTTCCTGCCAGGGTCAACCCAAAATTGGGCATCGCAGCACAAGCCAAGAACAAGCGTTGAGAACCCAATGATAGGTCAACCCTGCATATGAGTTGCATGTTATTTTATGGACTCAAAACTCGTGGAAGAAGTGATATCTTTTATTAGATTTTTGCAAACAAATTATTTGATTTATTTGCAAGCTTTCGGGCGCACCCCCCCTTCATCAGGCATAGGAGAGAGCGGAGATTGTAAAAGTTCTTCTAGGTAGAAATGAAAATGAATGAATTCATATGAATTTTCATTTCTACCTAGGCAAACTTTTACAATCTCTGCTCTCTCCTGTGCTTGCTGAAGGCCGTGTGTGCCCAAAAGCTTGCAAATAAATCAGTTAATTTTCTTGTAACTATCTAGTCAGTCTAATAAAAGGTATCGCCTCTTCCCCAGGTTTTGATTCCCTTCGCCTCTAGACCAATACGACTACAACCTGGATACCTGGCACATGTTATTTTATGGCTCTTTTTAAAAGGCAAAAGGCCCCTTGCTGGGGTCGTTTGACCCCAGTACTCT